AAAAAAAAAGAATTGAGGTTTTTGAATTATGGTGTTGGTGAAGAATACTGAATATACCATGGACTGCCGCAAAAACAAACCAATCTGTCTTGTAAGTAGTACGATCTGAATGTTTCTTAGGAGCAAGGATGGTGAGACTTCATCTCATATACTTTGGGCATGTTATCAGGAGGGACCAGTCCCTGGAGAAGGACATTATGTTTGGTAAAGTAGAGGGTCAATGAAAAAGAGGAAGACCCTCAATAAGATGGATTGACCCAGTGGCTGCAACAGTGGACTCAAGCATACCAACGACTGTGAGGATGGTGCAGGGCCAGGCAGTGTTTCACTCTATTGTACACAGGGTTGCTATGAGTCGGAACCTACTTGATGGCACCTACTATCAACGTTTATGGGAGCAGGCGTTTCTTCTACAGAGCCATTGTGGGGATTCGAACCACTAACCTTTGATTTAGCAGCTGAGCACTTAACTGTTGAACCTTCCAGGCTGCTTCATTCAGTAAGATAGAAGTATCTATCTCTTTGGGTTGTTTTGATTATTAAATGAGCTAAACCATTGCACTGAGCTTATAGCACAAAGCCTGACTCCATAGTAAGTACTCTGCAAATGTTAACTAAGAAAAAACAAATACATACCTAAGTTTTCCTTAGTCCCTCTGGCTCTCTCATCTTTTGACAAGGTGATTCCTCTGTCTGGAACAGCTTCCCCTTCACAACTTAACTCCCACTTAGTACTCAGCTTACATGTCACACTCCCCCATAAACAGGTAGTTGCCCCTCCTAAGTGCTTCCCTTTAAAAGCTTTTATAACATTCCCTCCTTCTCTGTAATTCAGCACTTATATCAGTCTGTTATAACTGCATTTGTCCTCCTTTTTCATCAAGTGTGAGCCTCTTCAAGGCAGAAGCTATGCCTTTTACGTCTCTATCCCCCACCCCCTCCCCTGTCCCTGGCACAAAGCAGACCAGCCAAGCCTGATGCTATTCCACAGCCCTGCCTATGATCTCTTCTGTCTTTAGGAATTGGTTCCTGGGCACTTTGAGACTGTGCTATCCCCTCATAACATTTGCTGCCACGTGTAGCCCCACCACCAGAGTGCCTTCCACCTGGGTCTCGGAGACCCTTCTAGCTGCCTCCACAGATGGTCCCAGGTACCAAGCAGTCTGCACTGGCCTGCCCCCATCCTGCAGAATGTGCTACTCCAGTCTCTCCCTTGGCTTGCCTCAGCTAAAATAGCATTCCCAGCAGGATATCAGGGCTTGTCCAGCTGCCCAGCAAAGCTTGGCTTTGGCTAATGTGTGTCTGGTAGCTCTGGTAGTGTAGTGCCTAAGGCATCTGACTGCTAACCAGAAGGCTGGCAGTTCAAACCCACCAGCCACTCCACAGAAGGAAAATTGGGCAATCTACTTCATAGAGATACAGCCTTGGAAACCCAAGGAGGGGTTGCTATGAGTTGGATCCGACTCTATGACAGTGAGTTTATTTTTTGTGTGTGTTTGATCTCTGAGAGAAAATCTTCCTGGAAGAGGGATTGTCTAACATACAAACTTTCCTCAGGCCCCAAACAAGGACCTCTTTTTCCATTTCTGCATACTTGAGGCCCTGATGACTGCTCCTGGAAGCCTCATGTTTGGCCTTAGGGCCACATGTGTTGTTGTTGTTGTTGTTATGTGCCATCGAGTCAAACCCGACTCATAGCGACCCCTCCTTGGGTTTCCGAGGCAGTATCACTACGGAAGTAGGATTGCCCAACCTTCCTTCTGAGGAGTGGCCACATGTAGCGCTAGGTTAATCTGCAAAAGGGGCAGAGCACAAGATACCCATGGGGAAGTGCCTGCTACTTAGACTTCTGTGGGGGCCAGGACTGGCCCTGCCTGAAAGCCTGGATGAGAGACCATCAGCCCACTCACCATCCACTGTTTCTCTCCAGGCCTGTGAGAGGGACCCTTATCTAAGGGGTGCAACAGAGAAGGAAGGACAGGGGGGTCATTGGAACCAGGGCTGTGTGGAAAGATCAGGGCTGGAACCCAGCTGGAGCTCCCTGTGGATGGATTGGTGTGCTTCCTGTATTGCTCTTGTGCATTTCTAGCCATGAACTTCCCTGTGAAAGGCTAAAGTAATCTCCATTATACTAAATTTAAGCAAGGGAAAGGGTTGGCATTGAGGACTCAGATACTCAAGAAGGCAGGGATCCCTTCCTGCCAATGTGGTGATGGAAACAAAAGGATAAAGTTAATGGGGAGGGGTGAGGACCCTGAGTCTGCTTTGACAGCCCGTTCCCCAATGGCTGTTTTCCCCACCTTCCAACCACTGGCAGCTCTCCTCAAGCTTTCTTTGCAATCTAGGTGTGTGTGGTCTTTGCAAGGAAGTTTGCATGGGTGACCCCTAAACACAGTCACCTCTCCTTACTTCATCCAGGACTGTCAGACCCTCCCTCAGGGAGGGATCCTGAAAGAGGTTTCACCTGCTTTTGCAACATTGTTGTTAGGTGCAGTTAGTTGTTCAGCCACCATCCAGTATATTCAGACTCCTGGTGACCCTGTGTGTGCAGAGCAGAACTGCTCCATAGGGTTTGCAAGGCTGTGACCTTTTGGAAGCAGATTGCCAGCCCTATCTTCCAAGGTGCCTCTGGGTGGTTTGAACCACTAACATTTTGGCTCACATTTAACCATTTGCACCACTCAGAAACTCCTTTCACAACATAACACTGTCAAACTGCATGCAAATTCTGCCAATAACAAGGGACCTGTTTCAAGCAGGGATGTTTTCTCCTGAGGGTGCTTCAGTACCGGGCTACTTTGATGCGGGCAGTTTGCAGCCATGAGAAGGCTATCCAAGCTGAGAGCACTCATTTTCAAAGCGCAGGGCAACTGAAGTTCTCAGGAAGTTGTCGCCTGAGGAACGAATTCTGCAGTGGCTCCATCACACCCCACCTCAAGAAGTAGGGAGGTGGCACTGCAGTGATGGAAAGCATGTTGTTGTTGTTGTTATGTGCCGTCGAGTCAAACCTGACTCATAGCGACCCCTCCTTGGGTTTCCGAGGCAGTATCACTACGGAAGTAGGATTGCCCAACCTTCCTTCCGAGGAGTGGCTGGTGGGTTTGAATCGCCAGCCGTCTGGTTAGCAGGCAAGTGTCTTAGCCACTATGCTACCAGAGCTCCTAGCTACTTGGAATGAGGGGAGGTGGGTCGCTGTAGTGATGGGAGATCTCTGCATAGAGTGCGTAGTCACTTAAGTTTCCACAGAAGCTGAAGATAACTGCAAGGAAGAGAGGGTTTCTGCAATGATGGAGGAGCACTTTGCAAAAGACTGGCGCTGACTTCTTGTGGGGGAGGGGTCCTACGGTGACGGAGCAGCTGGGGTCAGTTCCAGTGAGGAGAGAGGTGGGCTGGGTGCGGGAATAGTAGGACCCCTGGGGCCGCTGCAGTGATGGGGGTTGCCACTTAAACAGCTCCGCTGCACTTGCAGGATGCCTCACTTCCTGAAGGTCGGAAGGGTGGGGCTGAGGAGGCCTAGATCCCGCATAGATGGGGGGCTGTGAGGCGGCGGGAACGCCATCCCTGCACTGCAGTGCCCTGTTTGGCTCTGTTGGCCAGGGCTGGCGCGGAGGCGGTACCGTGCCGGCGGAGGTGGGAGCGTCAGCCCCGCCGCAGCGGCGGGCGGGGCGGAGGCGGGCCGGAGGCGGCGGCCCCTCGGAGCAGGGGCGGTACCAGCAGCTGCACTGCCGGAGACCCTGAGGGGACTCTGAGCCGCCACAGCGGGAGTCCAGAGGGGACGCCCATCAGTTGCGGAGACCTAGTGCGGCCTGGAGCGCAGAGGCGGCGCCACTCACCTTAATCCCGTCGCAGCACTCAGTACTCTGCGGAGGACGCCACGGTGAGGCTGAGGATGCCCGCAGGGGGTGGGAGGGAGATCCCTAGACTCAGCTCGCAGCATCCCGGGGCTGCCTGGCTGTGGGGGCGACGGCGAGTGCAGCAGCTGCCCACTCCCGGACCAGCTCTGCCAGGATAGGGTGAGCTGGCCTGGACGGGTTGCATTAAATTTCCTGCCCCGACACCTCTCCCGATCTTGCCTCGGAAAAGACCCTCTCTTTTCGCGTCCCTATCTCTTTCTTCTCAACCCATCCTATTCAGATCCAGCCAGCAGCCCCTCTCCGCGCCCCAGTCGCATGCGGCGCGGGAGAAAGAAAGCATGCGGACCTTTCAGCTCCCCATTCCAGGCCACCCTACTGTCCCTTGTTGAACTGGGAGTACCCTGGGGGATGCTGGCCCTTTAAACCTTTGCTTCCCACTCAGCGCATCTTCTGGCTCTCCACCTGCGCCACTTCCGACAGCTGGCAACCGCGGGGAGTCCCGGGGAGTCGGCAGGTACTGGGGCGTCGGTGGGGCCGAGTAGCGGGTGATGGAACATCTGTGCCGGCCCTCCCCCTGCCCCCAGAGAGGCCTGCGGCGGGACTGCTAGGCGCCGGGAGAGCAGGTTAATCATTAACCCTCCGCTCGCCGGGGCTCCGCGCTACCGGGAGTTGCGCTTTGCCCCGGCTCCCCAGGTAACCGACGAGGATGCCATTTCGCCATCCTCCTCCCTACTTCCCGGCTCAATAGGTCCAGGTCTTTGCCTCCGCTTCCTCGCCACCTGCCGGCCAGGCCTGAGCCGGGGGCTCAGCCTTGCGCCCCCTGCAGACCCGGGTCCTAGGGCCTGAGTTAGGCTCCTGCCTTTGGCTTCCAAGGGAGCGGGGTAGGGGCGCCCCGGACGCCGCTTGCGCGCCCTTTCATCGAACACACCCTTCACCCAGGACCGACCTCCTGGAACAATGCCGGGTCTGTACTGCCCCTCCAGCTGGACGCCGCTGCCCCTCACAGACTCCTGGGTTCGGGCCTGCGCCAACGGGCCCTGCCTGAGCCTGCGGGCCCGGCTCACCTATCACAACCCGCAGTCGCAGCCGGTAGACGGTGAGGCCTAGGCGGGGGCGCGGGATGAGGGCGCCAGTACCGGGCAGGGTCCGACACCGCCTCCTGCCCGTCCCCAGGCGTGTTCGTGTACCCCCTGGCGGAGGCCGAGGTGGTGTCCGGCTTCGAAGCGGAAGCGGCGGGACGGCGTGTGTCCTTCCAGCTGCAGAGCCGGCGCCGCTCACAGGCCTCCTGCTGCCGCGCACTGGGCCCCGGGTTGGGGGCCGCCACTCCTCGCCGCTGCGCGCAGGGTGAGTCCAGGGTGCCCCGCCACACCCCCTGAAGGCCGCCGGCAGTTCTGGTTCCCACACCCGCTCTGCGTCCTGCCCCCACTCCCCTCCAGCTACTGATTTTTTTCATTCATTGATTTATCCCTGTATTCAGCAGTGGACTGGGCATCTGACTTGCACCAGGTACTGGGGAATATGACCCAGGCCTGATCTGAGGTTCACAGCCAGGGAGACAGATACAAACCAGGCAGCACAGACTTGCAGGGTACCTCCAGCCCCTTACCGCCTAGGTGACCATAGCCTCCCCCAAGGTGCTACAAAGACACGCCCTCCTCGGCCTGACCGGTCCAGCCTCTTCCCCTCCTCCCTTTTTCCTGTGTGGGCCAGCTGCTGGACCAAGTGGGAACTCCACTACCTAGCAGACAAGGCCTTATGCCATTCTGTCCTCCCACTCAAACCACAAGCACTGGCCACACTGACAGGTTTTGTCACACCTGCTTGCTTTTACTGTGTGATTACCTTCTAACTAGCAAACTTCTACTTGCCCTTTAAGACCTACCCAAATGTCCCTCCTTGGGAAGCCCTCCCTAAATCCTCCACAAATAATTAATTGCACTCTTCCCTTGCTCTCCAGCCTTTTGTTCAACCTCACTACAACACTTTCCGCTTAGAGTAATTGTCACAGGTTCACAAGTCTGTCTCCCCCCTCTGGAGCATTAGCTTCAGAGCCTGGGACAGGGTTTTGGTCATCTTCCAGTCCAAGTGCCTGGCACAGAACCTGACAAAAGGGGCTCAGTGAGTGCTAGGTAATGGGATAGAAGCCTAGCCCTATGCTAGTTCTGTGGCTTGCACTTCATTCTTCCACTTATTCATTCGAGTCCCTCACATGACTGCTAACCAGAAGACTGGCGGTTCAAACCCACCAGCCACTCCTCAGAAGGAAGGTTGGGCAATCTACTTCCATACTGATATTACCTCGGAAACCCAAGGAGGGGTCCCTATGAGTCAGGATCGACTCAATGGCATGAGTTATTGATGAAGATATGGAGGCTACTCAGAACAAGAAAGTTGCCAAGAGACACAATTAGAAGTCACCTAAATTCAAAATCTGCTCCTGTGCTCTCTCCCTTGAATGAGACTGTCCCCAAGAGTCAGCTGAGATACAAGTTCTTCTCTTTGCTCTTCCCTCTTTCTTTTCTTTCTGTTCCATCTTTTTCTTCCTTTCATTTGTTCAGCAAGATTTCTTTTTTCTTTTTTAAATTTTTATTGTGGTTTGAGTGAAAGTTTACAGACCAAATTCACTTTCCAAACAGCAGCTCACATACACTTTGTCTCATGACATTGACATTTCCCACAGTGCAACAGCTGCCCTTCCACTTCCTCCCCATAGTTAACCTCTTCCCTTGTCCTTTCCTCCATGCACTCCTGCCCCCTAAGCTGTCTCCCTGTGCATACAAAGCCCTTCTATTTTCCCATGATTGATCTCTCCAAGGAGTGTATCTAGCTAATGTAAATGTTCAGCTCATATGTCTGTCTTTTGTTTGGCTGGAAGCCACAGGTGTAGGTTCAATCCCAGACCTGAAGGGCACCTGGTCCCTTTTTTTTCTTTCCCTCAAATGATTTTGAGTTTTGTTCCACATTGTTCTCCCACTCTATCCAGGATCTCCTACACAGATCCCCCTTTGAGTGGTGACATTAGTAGCTGGGTACCATCTAGTTCTTCTGGTCTCATAGTCATATAGATTGAGGATCACATGGTGTACCAGTTGCTTGGACTAATTGTTTCCATGTGTCTTTGGTTTTCTTCATTCTTCTTTGTTCTGAATGAGGACAGACCCATTGTTGCATTCAGATGGCTGCTTACAAGCTTTTAAGATCCCAGTCACTACTCACCAAAGTAGGATGTGGAACAGTTTTTTGTTCAGCAAGATTCTTAAAAGAATTAGTAAATGTTGTGGAGAAGTCAGGTAAAGTAAGATTGGCTGGGAAGGCAGGCTGGGGTCAGACTCTGCAGAGCCTTGACTGCCACTGTCCACAGTTGGTCTTTATTCTTTTAATAGCAGTGGAGACTTCCACAGTTCCACCAGTCACCAAATCAACCCACAATCTAAGTAAAAATGGTGTGTTTGGTATGCCAGTGTAGCTTCATATCCTGCTTCCAAACCAATTGCTGCCCATAAGGTCCTCTTGAGTAGAAAACTCTGAAGCCACTTCTAGCGGACAGTGGGAAACCCCTAGAGGTTCATGAGCAGAGAAATTTGTGAGCTGAGCTGGTCCTAGGCCAGGGGAAAATGTTAGTTCACAAGTGACAGTCCTTTAGGAAGGTAGTACCCAAGAGTTGAATGGTCAGGGGCTGGCAGGAGCAGAGAGGCAGAGGTTATGGGCTCCACTTTTGGGTGGTATAGATTTGTCTCATTACTCATTCCTTCCTCAGCCCCTCATTAGCAGAGATGTCACTGCTCCCCTTCCTGATGGCAGCCAGATCCTACCACCACCATCCTACTAGCCTCTCCTTCCACCACCATTCATCCCATGCCTCCACCCTGCATCACCAGCCATTATCCAAGTATCCACCAACCGTGCAAAGTCCCTCTTTCCCAGGCTCCCCTGATTCAATGCCTACCCCACTGCTTCTTCCCCTATCTCTTCTGCTTCCAGCCCCCTCTGACCCCTTTTCTCCCTCATCATAGGTCATCTTGTCTTGGATCTGGCCCAGGCCCAGTCCACGCTGGTGCTGCCCACAGGCCTCATTGCCGCAGCTGGCACCATGACAGTGACCCTGCGCAGCAGCCGGCAGTTGCCCTCAAGGCCTGATGGGGTGCTGCATGTGGTCCTGCCCTCTGTGCTCACCCCACTGGCCCCACCAGGCCTGCCAGGGCCCCCCAGGCCTCCGGGGCTCTGTGACGACAGGTTGGGCCTATGGTGATTCTCTTCGTCCCTCCCTCGGCTTCTCTGGGTCTAGTGCGGGTGAGGGGGCTCTGAAAGGGTGCCTAGGGGATGGGCAGGGTGGGAAAGGGGTGAAGCCAGTCAGCCAGAGGGTCGAGGGGCCTTTGTAGTGGCTCAGTGACCCTCCTCATGCTCCCTTCCAGTCCCACCAGCTGCTTTGGGGCAGGCAGCCCTCAGGAAGAAGGGCTGGCCTGGGAGGAGCCGGCTGCCCCTTGGGACGTGTTCTCAGACCCTGCCCGCTGCCCTGCCCCATACACCTTCTCCTTTGAGATGCTGGTGACTGGACCATGCCTGCTGGCAGGTGGGTGTGTCTGGCCTGGCCTTGCCTTCATCAGAACAGAAACCTCCCTTCAGATGCCCACCCTTCCCAGGGCCGCTGACTGGGAAATGATATAAGGCTTGGGGATGGGAGGGGAAAAAACATAAGGAACCTAATCCTTGGGGCCTCCAGTCTAACAGCAGGAGCACCTGGCCACTTACACATAGCAAGCCCCCTGTTAGGTTTATCAGTTTAATTTATTTATATTCCAACCTACCTACCAATTGGAAGAGAGGAGCTTTTAAGACTAGTCCAAGTGATGAAGTGGATTTTCCTTTTTCAAGAGGTGGAGGAGGGTGCTAAATCATCAATTGGTTGATGTGTGAATTCTGACCAGCCAGGAACAAAGCTGAGCTTCCTCCTCCCAGCCCCAGAAAGCAGACAACTCCTTTGTCCATCTGACCCTATAGATCAGGCTCTGAGAGCTGAACTAACTTAGCCATGGTCCCTGCTGTTTGGGCTCTTGTCTGGGAAGATGATGTTTGTGCACCTACTACCAGCTTGGGGTGGGGCAACCATGACCTCTCCCTTGCCTCCATGTCCTTCAGGCCTGGAGAGTCCTTCTCATGCCCTGAGGGTAGATGCCCCCCCTAACGCTAGCTCTGCAGCCACCGTGTGTGTCACACTGGCAGAGGGCCACCGCTGTGACCGGACCCTGGAGATCCTGCTCCACCCCAGTGGTGAGAGACTGGGGCACACAGTGGGCCAGCTCTGACCTGCTTCAGGATCACCTGGGCAGCATTTTCTTAGTACAAGTGTCTGGGCCCCCAAATGGATTGAGTCATTTGCGAGGGTGGGCCTGGTGAGCAGGGTAGCTGGACTTGCAGGCTCCTTTCTGGGCAGTGGAAATGGGCAGCTGGGGTCCAGAGGAAGGACTTCCCTGATGGAGTTGTGTCCCCTCATCCCCAGAGCCCCACCAGCCACACCTGATGCTAGAGGCCGGCAGCTTGAGCTCAGCAGAATATGAGGCCCGGGTGAGGGCCCGCCGGGACTTCCAGAGGCTGCAGCGAAGGGACAGTGATGGGGACCGGCAGGTATGCCTGCAGGGGTCCTGGCTGGCCCCTGATCTCACTGCTGGCTGCTTTTGTGCATGAGGAGTAGGTGAACAGAGTGGGTACCTCTGCTCTCAGCAGCTGCCACCCACCATCCCAGAGGGCAAATGAGTATAGTCATAGGAGGCTCTAAGTCTCCCTGAGATATGTCTTAGAGGATGAGGAGTGAGTCTGACATAGGCACAGGACAGCCGCCTGCTTCTGCCCTTGGTTTTATCTACATTACATAAAGGTAGCCCCTCTGTGTCAATTAGATAGAAAACAGCTCTAGAGCTGGGTCCTACTGCTGACTCTGGTCAGAGATGCACTGTCCCTGGCCCAGGATGACTTGGGCTCCCATACTCAGGTGTGGTTCCTGCAGCGACGCTTCCACAAGGACATCCTGCTAAACCCTGTGCTGATGCTGAGCTTCTGCCCGGACCTGAGCTCCAAGCCGGGACACCTGAGCACAGCTACAAGGGAGCTCCTTTTCCTGTTGGATGGCAGTAGTGTGGCATATAAGGCATGTGGAGACACAGCATGGGCAGTCCTGGGGCCTGGGTGGGGCAGCCTTTCAAAGCCAGGGGTTGCCTTGTTGCTTAAAACACCATCTTCCAAGGAGGATGCAGGCAGCAACTCCTCAGGGAGAGCCCCTTAAAGAGCAGTGCCACCCTATTAACACACACAGTCTCCCTCTCTTTTTCACACTCAGTCTCACACCAACCTGCAGTCTCTCCCAGATAATAGGAGCCTCTGTCATATATTGGATCATATACTCACTCACACACCCAATTAGAGAGACTTGAGTTCACACACATACCCAGAGTCTCACACATACACCCTATAGTCACACACATACACAGGGTCACATATACAAAAGTTACATACTCAGACACACACACTCCTAGTCTCCACATACACCACATACCTCAAGTCTCCTCCTTCATAACCCCCAAGTCTCTGTACACACACCCCCTTCTCTCCAACACAATCTGAGTCTTCCCCACATACCTCCCATCTCCCCCTATACCCAAAGTCTCTCGCACACCACCAGTCTCTCACACACCTAGGCTGTCTCATACCCAGTCTTTCTTACACATGCCTGCAGTTTTCACACACAGGGTCTCTCCCAGATTACCTCATACAGCCCTCATTTCACATGTGATACAAAGGCCTGGGAAGGGCACAAAATCTGCCGTCCCTTGCTCTCCACCAGTCTTTCAGGTTGTGCCTGTGGGGCCTGCCTCATGCCACCCTCCCTGGCCCTCCCCAGGATGCCATTGTTTTGGCTGTGAAGTCTCTACCATCCCAGACCCTCATCAACCTGGCCATGTTTGGCACGTCTGTGCAGCCACTCTTCCCAGAGAGCCAACTTTGCAGTGATGTGAGTGTGGTCCAAATATTTGGGGGCCTAATGGAGATATTTGTACCCAGTGCAGCTCAGCCTGTGGCTTCTCATTCCAGGACACTGTGCATCTGATCTGTGACAGGATCGAGGGCATGCAGGCTGTGGGCAGCCCCCAGGATGTGTTGGCTGTGCTGGACTGGGCGATGGGACAGCCCCAGCACAGGGCCCACCCTAGGCAGCTATTCCTGCTCACCGGTGCCTCACCTGCAGCTGCCACTACCCACCAAACCCTGGAGTTCATGCGATGGCACAGGGGGACAGCCAGGTATGTAGTAGGTAGAGGTGAGTGCCCAAGACCAGTTCCCACCGAGAGGTTCCTGAAGGTCACAGCTGCTTCCATTCCCTGGACAGGTGCTTCTCCTTTGGGCTGGGGTCCGCTTGCCAACGGCTGCTCCAGGGTCTGTCTTCACTCAGCCGAGGCCAGGCCTACTTCCTGAGCCCTGGGGAGAGGCTGCAGCCCATGGTGAGCTTGAGCCTGGACCCTGTTCCCTCCTCTCAAGCTACATGGAATCTGAAAAGAACCCAGTCAGGCCCAGGGTCTCCTGACACCCTAGCTAGGACTTCTCCCCCACTGTAGTTCTTCCTCTCTCCTGAGATACCAGTCAAGGGAGGAGCTGCTAGTGCTGGTGCAGGAGGGCAAAGGTGTGGGGGCAGAGCCTCTGATCATCCCCAGATCTTGCCATCAGTTTTGACTCAGAACTGAGCCACATCCCTGGAAAGCACTGCTTCACCCATGTGGAAGACTCAACCCAGGAGAGAGACCAAACCTGAGTTTGAGCACCCAGTCCCTTTGCTTGCTCCTGCCCCTATTCCTTCCCCTGATCCTGCTCCCCATCAGCCCAAGGGCTGAACAGATGCCATCAAGGGAAGGGTGTTCTTCCTGCACTTTCCACCTGTGTGACACCTCTTTCTCTCTCATGTCCCTATCTTGGCTACTCCCCACAGCTGGTACAGGCTCTGCGGAAGGCACTGCAGCCCGCTTTGAGTGACATCTCTGTGGACTGGTTTGTGCCTGATGCTGTGGAGGCACTTCTGACACCCCGGGAGATCCCTGCACTCTACCCTGGGGACCAGCTGCTCGGTTACTGCTCACTTTTCCGGGTGGATGGCTTCCGACACCGCCCACCCCAGGTAGGGCCAGGCTTGGGTAGGGCAGGTCGGCCTGGGATGGCTTAAGGCCCTGTGTCTCTTCAAAGGGCTTCCATTCCTGTGCCTCTCTCTGACAAACTTCCCCTAACCCCCTCTAAGCCTCCCCAGAGATCATGCTGGGCCCCCAAGATGATTATAGCCCACACACTTCATGGCATCTTCCACTGAGTTGTCCTGTAAAGTGTGACCTTTGGCTTTTATCAAAGGTGACTACAGCACACAGCCACAGGAAATGGCTCCAGTATTTGCTGTGAGGTGTTTGTCAAAACTATTGCTCATTACTTCATGCAATGCCCTATAGAAAACACCATCTAACATATCTCCTGTAACATTCAGTGACAGATGGTGCACAGCATTAACAAAATCTCAATCCCCAACTCTTTCACTTACTAGCTGTTTCATTCTGGGGAAATCACTTAACCTCTCTGGGCTCATTTCCTCATCTGTACATTTTTTCCCCATAGGGTTACTGTACTCAGAGGTCATAAGCCCTACTGCGAGGTACTTGACACACAGTAGGAGCTTACTAAATGGTAGTTAATACTATCATGGAAAGTTTTCTCTAGAACTAAGCATGCTTCCTCCTTTTTGATCATGAGAGCTATATAACAAACCATGTTTCTTTTTGCCTGGCTGCCAGGAAGCTCACAGCCAAATGTGAAGCAGCTCAGCCAGAGCACCTCTTTTAACTGCTACGTTTAACATGTTTGCTTTTTCCTTCCTTAGTTATGGTCTTCCATTTCTAGTTTATTTTATTGCCTCTTGCTGTGAGCCATCTTAAATCCTGTTTGGAAAGGGATAGTGTATACCTACAATCATTTTTTTTTCAATGACTGTTCTCTCCCTAGGGCCAAGAGCCCAGCTGGCAGAGCTTGGGCGGCTCTGTGTTCCCATCCCCAGAGGAGGAACCATCTGCTGCCAGCCCTGGCACTGAGCCCACTGGCACTACAGAGCCACTGGGAACAGGCATTATATCAGCAGAGCCGTCAAGTCCATGGGCTGCTGGAGATTCAGAGCAGAGTGAGTATCCAGGTGTATGTGTGGGGCTATGTTGGAGGAGTAAGCAACAAATGAGGCAGGTCTGGGGTCCATTCTCCTGCTTCCCAGCAGGTACTGATGTTCTGACAGACCCAGCCACAGACCCTGGACCTAACCCATCCTCTGACACAGCTATATGGCGCCGCATCTTCCAGTCCTCATATATCCGGGAGCAGTATGTGCTCACCCATTGCTCCGCCAGCCCTGAGCCAGGCCCGGGCTCCACCGGCAGCAGCGAGTCCCCTGGCTCCCAGGGCCCTGGGTCCCCTGAGGGAAGTGCTCCCCCAGGTCCTCCTTCCCAGCAGGGTTGCCGCAGCCTGGCCTGGGTAGAACCTGCAGGTACCCGCTCCTGTCCCCTGCCTGCACCCCCAGCGGCTTCGTTCAAGGTGAGATTTAGCAGCACTTGGCTGCTAACTAAAACGTCAGTAGTTCAAATCCACTAGCAGCCCCACAGGAGAAAAGACCTGGCAATCCGCTCCTGTAAAGATTACAGCCTAGAAAACCCTGTGGGGCAGCTCTACTCTGTCATATAGGGTCACTGTGAATCGGAATCCGTATGACAGTACGTAAAACGTTCCAGGTATTACACAGTGGCCACCATTAAGTCTAGGTGGAGAGACAGATGGCTAAGTCTCTAATGATACCATATGGCATCCAGTGATGAGCACACGGACATGGTATTATGGGGGCTCAGAGTCAGGTTGATTAGCCCTGTTTTGAGGGAATCAGGAAAAGCTGCTTGGAGCCTGGAAAAGGTTGGAGCTCTGGTAGCATAGTGCCTAAGGCATTTGACTGCTAACCAGATGGCTGGCAGTTCAAACCCACCAGCCACTCCTCGGAAGGAAGGTTGGCCAATCTACTTCCGTAGTGATACTAACTCGGAAACCCGAGGGGTCACTATGAGTCAGATCCAACCTGATGGTAGTGAGTTTTGGTTTGGCTTGGAAAAGGTGGAACTAAAGCCATGTCTGGAAGAATAAGTAGAAGTCAGCCAGGCTAAGAGGGAAAAGACATGAACAAAAACAGAGATAAGCAACAATCTCAAGTGTGAAACAGGCAGTGGACCAAGATGACTCTGGAGAGGGCACTAAGGACCAGAGATATTTGTAGACCCTAAGGAACTTACTTGGTCTTCCTCCTAAGCATTGTAAGCAGCCATACAGAGGTTCAGGCAAAGGGGCATGTGAGCAGCTGTGTACATATCTGATGGCCAAAAGTACTATACTCCTTGACCAGCAGCCCCTACTTCCTACATGCAGGCTGGAGCCTTGAGTGCTGAGGTGCTGGGCTGTCAGCGCAGAGCAGTTCTGGCTGGCCGAAGCCTCTCATCTCCCCCAGGCCAAGCCAGCCCAGCCCCTGGCCACTCCCAGCACCCCTCTCTGGCTGCAGCACCAGATGGGCTAGGCCCAGAGCCAGGGCAGCAGCTGGAACAGGGCCTGGATGACTCAGGTAAGGGTCAATGAGGGGCTGAGCTTTCTGGCACCAAAGTGGCCTTGGAGAGGTGGAGTCCAAGGCACCACACTGTCCATACCCCTGTTTATTTCTCTTCCCAGGAAACCTCATTTCTCCAGCCCCCATGGACTGGGACATGTTGATGGAACCACCTTTCTTGTTCACGGCTGTGTCTCCCAATGGGGAGTTAGCTCCAGCAGCGCCAATGTCTCTCCAGGCTCCACGCTGCCATGTGGTGATCCGGGGCCTGTGTGGCGATCAGCCTATGTGCTGGGAGGTAGATGTGGGGCTGGAGACACTGTGGGGATCTGGGAATGGATCACAGCCTCCATCATCCTCTGAAAGAGAAACAACTTGGGACCAAGCACTCCACCGGCTGACGGCGGCCTCCGTGATCCAGGACAATGAGCAGCTGGCTCTCCGAGGGGGTGCTGCAACCACAGCCAACCGGGGTGAGCTGCTGCACCTAATCAAGGCCTGGGAGCCTGCATGGGGCAGAGAATGCCAGAAGGATGGGTCTGTGTATTTGATCAGTCTCTGTATCTCACCTTGCTCAGAAAGATTTTGAGGTAGCTCACGCACACTGACAAGATAAAAAATGAAGGAAAAGGAAAAATATAAAAGGAAGCTAGAAATGAGGTTACATTAAAGTTACACACCATGAGATCATGTACCCTTGCTAAGTATGAGACCTAAAATTGGCAAGCTTCCTAGCAGCCAGTAGAGGGAAATGTGATCTTATAATGATTCACGGTGCCCATAACGTAAAAAGCAAATCACTTGTTCAGGAAGATTATCAAAATCAAACAAAGTTAAAATTTCAGTTCTTCTGCTGCACTAGCCACATTTCAAGTGGCCATCGTCACATGTGACTAGTGTCTACCATACTAGAGAGCACACAGAGAACATTTCTGTCATTGCACAAAGTTCTACTGGACAGTGCTGAGATGAGTGGACAGAAAAGCCACCGCAATCAATGCTTTTTCTGGGTAGGGTCTAGACTGTTGCATTTCTGGAGGGTGAAGGTGCGGATGCTGCTGTGGGTTAAGGGGTCAGCCTGACCATTTCTTATCAGAGCTATGGAGTCCAAGCTGGTTCTGAGCCTGAGGAGGTACCTCACTCTGTTCAAAGATAGACAGGAAAGCTCAGATTTCCTTCTATGAAGCCCTTTGAGAGGATGAGTGGTAGGAATGCCCCTCTGCTGTTTAGCAGGTTGTTCCTTGGTTTCGTAGGTCCTGCCCGGAGGTCCTGGCTTCGAGCCCTTCAGACAAGTAAGGTCAGCTCTGCCCCATCCTGCTTCACCTGCCCTGTGGCTGTGGATGCTGCCACTCAGGAAGTCCTGCCTGAAGCCCTGCAGGTGTGGAGTTCAGGTAGAATCCATCCCCTGGTGACCTCTCAGATGTGGGCCCTTGCCTCATTGGTCATGCTCCAGTGCAAGCCTGACCCCTCCTTGTCTCTTGTGTCCCAGCAGAGCCAGCCCAGTTCCCAGTCACCCCTCCTGCCTCTCAGGGCTCTCTAGATGCAGGCCTTCTGCCCACCATCACTCACTCCCAAGGTAACACCCTAATTTGGGAAAAGGGTAGGGGCAACCAGCCTTAGAGACCACCCACTGACACTGATTAGCCCCACTGCAGGACTTCAGGGAGGCTCTTCAGCAGGCACCCGGGATCCAGACCAAAATGGCAATTCCAAGTCTCAGATGGGTGACCTTGCAGCCCCCACTGTTGGTCCTCGATACCCGCCCCCACAGCCTCCCTCTAGGCTCAGCCTAGGCCGGCGGAGAGTCAAGGGTTCTGACAGCCGCAGACTGTGTAGCGCTGACGGGGGCCAGGCAGGAGACACCAATCCTGAAGGCAGCGACCATGACTACCTGCCCCTGGTGAGGACTCGGGAGGTGGAGGGTTTGTGTCGCCAGAGCTAGGGTGCTGTCTCAGCTCATTTCTCCCCCCACCTCCTCTCTCCTCAGGTACGGCTGCAGGAGGCATCTGGCTCCTTCCGCTTGGATGCACCCTTCTGTGCAGCTGTGCACATCCGGCAGGAGCGCCTGTGCCGGGCCTCTCCCTTCGCTGTGCACCGCGCCAGCCTCAGCCCCACCTCGGCTTCATCCCCCTGGGCCCTCCTCGGCCCTGGTGTTGGCCAGGGCGACAGCGCCACAGCTTCCTGCAGCCCTTCCCCCAGCTCAGGCTCTGAAGGCCCAGGCCAGGTAGACAGCGGTTGGGGCTCAGACACAGAGGCCTCGGAAGGGGGAGAAGGACCAGGCCCAGGTCGCGCTGACCTGCGGGACCGGAGTTGGGCCACTGCTGTGGCCCTTGCATGGCTGGAACACCGCTGCGCTGCTGCCTTCAATGAGTGGGAGCTGGCAGCAGCCAAGGCTGATTGCTGGTTGCGGGCCCAGCACCTGCCCGATGGCCTTGACCTGGCAGCCCTCAAAGCGGCAGCCCGTGGGCTCTTCCTGCTGCTGCGCCATTGGGACCAGAACCTACAGCTCCACCTGCTGTGCTACAGCCCAGCCAATGTGTGAGGGTTGCCAGCAGCCTGGACTCAGGAGCCCCCAACAGACTCAGTTCACTGCCACCCAGGGCCAGCCTGTTGGTGCTGGGAAGGGGTGGGCCTATATGGCCTGCCCTTCCCTGCTTCTCACCCCCTTCCCAGAATTTTCTCACCCCACAGAAAGTGCCTGCCTGTGCTCTCTCCTGATCCTCCCATCCAATACCCCTCTCCGTCCAGCTCCATGCAGTGCAGTGGAAGGGCAGAGAGCCACAGTCCACAGATCCTATGCAATAAAGTGCCTCTTAGGACTGCCTGAGTGAGTTCTTTTGTCTAGCCTGTGCATGCTCCAAACACCTTGGTCCTGGCACCAGCTGCCTATCCCTCCGGGGAGGCTGCACAGAGGTGGACTTGGCAAGGTTTATTTGGAAAGGCAGAGTCCATCCCCATTCAGGGTCCTCAGTGGACTGAAGGGGAAGGCGTGAATTTCAGTGGGCTTTCTTACTGTGCTGGATGCTCTTGGGGAAAGGCTGAGGCCCCACCCAGAGCTGCAGCAGGATGACAGCATGGCACATATGCAAGGCAGCAGAGCTACAAGACGTAGATGGGTATGTATTCCAGGAGAGCTCAATGAGCCCCAGCACCAGCAACCTAGGGATGACAAACAGGGTCCAGGTTTTGTCCAGTTCCAGGCTCTGCAGCCCTTTGTTATCTCATGCCCTAGACACATCCCTTTACCCTTCTCCATGACACAAACTTGGGATGAGGAGCCCCTTAGCCCTTCCCACTCCCCCAGATTGACCCTGCCATACCTGAGCAGGTGTGTGAGCCAGCGTGCAGGCATGGCCCACAGGAGGTAGGGCAGTGTATGGAAATACCAGACGTAGAACTGGTAGTGGAGGGAGCGGCTGAAGCAGATCCCAATGAAGTTAGAGGTAAAGAGAGTAGAAACGATCTGTACGGGGTGGTCAAGGCTAAGGGCAGGAACAGAGGAGCCAGGAGGTGGGGAAAGGGCAATCCCAAAGGAGAGAGGCAAAAGTTTCAGGGTTGGAATAGCCCCCTGGCTCTGCCCTTTCTAGCTGCATGCCTTTGGGCAAGTTTCCTAACCTCTCTGGACGTGTTCTTCAATCTAGTAAGAAGATAGTAATACCTAGAGCTATAATGCCCAGGGTGTTTGAATCTGTTACTTACAAGCTGTGACCCTGGCAAGTTATTTAACATTTTAAAGCCTTAATTTTGTCACCTATAAATTGGGACTAATAAGAGTACTTCTCTGTCTCAGAGTTTTAAATTTGAGAACATATATACAATGGTATATTACCGAAACAAAAAGAAAAATGAAATCCTGATACCTTCTACAACATGGATGAGCCTTGGAAACATAATGCTGGGTGAAATAAGTCAGTCACAAAATGACAAAGTGTATGATCCCACTTATATGAAATATCTGGAATAAGCAGGTATATAGAGATCAAAGTTTATCAGTGGTTACTAGGGTGGGCAGGAGGGTGGGAGAAAGGGGAACTCACTGCTTAGGGGGCACTAAGCCTCTTCTATTAAAGGTGATAGTATAATTTGGGATTAGATAAAAGTGATGGTTGATACCACTGTCAACCACTCAGAGGGGGATCTATGTAGAGATCCTGGATAGAGTGGGAGAACAATGTGGAAAAAAACTCAAAATCATTAAAAAAAAAAAAAAAAAGGGGGGGGGATCAGGTTTGGTGGTCTGATAGAGCCTGACAGAACCACTGAGACTATGACCCCTAGCTGTCCTTCAGGTCTGGAATTGAACCCACTTCTGTGCCTTCCAGCCACACAAAACATAGGCATATGAGCTGAACATTTACATTAGCTAGATACACTCCTTGGAGAGATCAATCATGGGAGAATAGAAGGGCTGTGTATGCACAGGGAGACAGCTCAGGGGGCAGGAGTGCATGGAGGGAAGGACAGGGAAGAAGTTAACTATGGGGAGAAAGTGGAAGGGGAGCTGTTGCATTGTGGGAAATCTCAGTCATGCCATGAGACAAAGTGTATGTGGGCTGCTGTATGGAAAGTGAACTTGCTCTGCAAACTTTCACCCAAATCACAATAAAAATTTTTTTTTTTTAAAAAGGTGATGGTTGAATATGATAGACATAACTGTCACTGAACTGCACATATGAAGACTGTTGAAATGTCAAATGTTACATTATGTATATATTACCATAATAAAAAAAAATAGAAGGTATGTACATCTCTTAGGACAGTCCCTGAGGGCTAGCACTCAATAATGTTAGCTATTGATGGTACCCAATGCTAGCTTAAGGCATTTGACTGCTAACCAGAAGGCTGGCAGTTCAAACCCACCAGACACTCCTTGGAAGGAAGGCTGGGCAATCTATCTCCATAGTGATACTGCCTCGGAAACCCAGGCAATCTATTTCCATAGTGATACTGCCTCGGAAACCCAAGGAAGGGTTGCTATGAATCAGAAATGACTCAACGGCACATAACAACAACGCTAGCTTATCAATATATGGGATATTTAAGATTAAGAATAAAATGTGCTTAAATATGGAAAGCACTCAGCACAGTGCTCTCTACAGACGAGCCCTGGAGCTATTACTGATCCTCCTCTTGCCTTCCTCAGAGTCACCAGCCATCCAGAGTTAACTAACCAGGACCCAGTCTCTGTGCCTGGAGAGGGCAAAGCTTACCTTTCCACAATTTAAAGGATATGATTGGGTGTGAGGGGCTGGGGTGGAACCTTCCTTTTGGAGGGATCCTTCAGCAGCGACAGAATACCTTCCCCTGTCCTGAGAAGAAGCCATTTAGACATTTATCAAGCCCCCACCCTGGGCCAAGTTCTAGACTCAGCCCCATGAGCAACATTTCCCCTAAGTAGCCCAAGATCTAGGCCCTTCACTCCTTCCCCCAAAATCTCCCACTGGCCCTGCCCTTTCTTACCTGTGCCACCTGCAGAGGGCAAAGAGGAAGAGCAGGATGAGGTGGGCGGCCAGCAGGACCAGGTGGAAGGCACGATGTAAGAAGAGGGCCTCAGGAAGGAAGCGCCAGTTCACTGTCCAACGGAAGAGAAACTGGCGGCCAAGATCAAAAGAGCGGGACAGGTAGCCAACAGGGTTCTGTAACAGGAAGGGCAGCCCCAGCACCACCTGTGGGGAAGTGTGACATCAGGAGAGCTATTCAGGCTTGCCCCCCAACCTTGTGTCAATCACTGAGGGTAGTGGGAAGTAGCATAGATCTCAAAGACTCCCTAATTACCACCAGGAATAGCAGGAAAGCCAAACCCTCCATGCCCCACCCCCCAGGCCAGAGCCTGGGTCCAAGGAAGCTGAAGAGGCAAGTAATAACCATGTTTAGACTGACTAAACCATAAATAGGCAAAGCTAGAAGAGTACTCAGAGGCCATGGAGTTCAACATCCTTATCTTACAGCTAAGGAAACTGAACCCCAGAGGTAGTGGCTGCCCAACTCAGAATCAACTCCAAAACTCTTAGTTTTGAGGACATCTCAGGGAGGATATCCCAGGTCACAAGCAGAAAGGAGGCCAAGTAGAGTGGCTTTCCCTTTATTAGAAAAGGAAAAGGATAAGGTAAGGGTACCTGAAGGACAGCACAGATGCCCAGCTTGGGTAGGGCCCCACGGAGGCCAAATTGTGTGAGGAGGAGGAACAGTAACCCGGGGGCAAAGAGCAGCACGTTCATCTTCACCGAGACTGCCAGGCTGGGATGGGCAGTGGAGAGGAGGGAGGGAGATCAACTCTAGGCTCCTCACCCTACCCAAAGATAGCCCCCCACACCATCACCACAGCAAACTCCCCAACTTCCATTAAGTTCCTGATTGGGGCTCATGTTCAGAACTGTTAAGGGGAGGGAAAGACAGTCTGGGAAGAGGAGAGGAGGGTCACATGCCTAGTCTCTATGCCCACACTGAGTGAATAAATACATGTAAATATTTAGAATATGTGAGGCGCATCTCCAACAATGGATGCTGTCTGGAGGCCAGGAAGAGGGTATGCATGTGTGCATTGAGGGGCTTTCTACAGATCCTGACCACCAACACTGGCCATGCCCTTAGTCTGTCTGCTGCAGAAAAGTGGGGAGAAAGACAGAAATACAGAAAGTGAGAGAGGGGGCTAGAATGAAGGGGTTATGACCTGAAACAGCAGCAGCCCCAGCCCCAGCGTTGGGCCAGCAGGAGGTTGATACTAAGGAAGAGCAGCGCCATAGCCACGGGATCATTGAAGAGCCTCAGCACAAATATGGAGTGGACACGGTAAGAGGCGCAGCACATGAAGAAAAAGACGAAGGGAGGTACCTAAGGGGTAGGCACAGTGGGGAATGGAACAAGGTCAGCACACCAGACCTGAGCCACCCATACTCCCTGGCTCTCCTAAGTCTGGGCCTGCTGGGCGTTGGTAGGGTGGGCTCACTTTGCAGGTCTGGTGGTAGATCCAGAAGACAAGCAGCAAGGTGACCAGGTAGAGTACAGCAAAGATGTGCTGGGCCATACGGATGTCAGTGCCTTGGCCAGTGACATAGTACAGCCCCATAAAGATGTACACAAAGCCAGCTGGGTACCTGGAAGATAAGAGGGAACATAAGCCTAAGTCAGCCCATCCAGCCTAGCACCTAGCCAGTCTCTCACAATCCTCCCCAAACCTCCTATCCATACTCACACAAGAGGTCCAGTGTCACCCTGAAGTTGTGTGTAGTCATAGGTACCATTGATGACACCCTCCACTTCAGCCATGTAGGCCTTCCAGTCGATCTCTGTGTCTGTAAGTGGACAGGATGGTCTAGTTACTTCCAAACTCAGAACTCAGCTTCCTCCACACCTCCAGGCCATGAAAACAGAGTTCCAGATCATTCTGGGGGCTTCCAACACAATCTCTTTGTCAGTGACTCCTCAACCCAGCTCTCTTCTCTAAGTTTACAACCATATATCTGTCTACCTGACATCTCTCTCTGGGTAACACCAGGTATCTCAAATGCAGTATGTCTATAACTGGACTCCTGATCTTTCCTCCAACCCCAAATCTATGCCTCTTCCTGAGTTCTCTACATGGCAACATCAACCACCCAGCTGCCCAGGTCACAAACCTGGGTAACCCCTTTGACACTTCCTTCTCTCCCATTTCCAATTCTCAGTCACCAAGTCCAACTGATTCTTTACCTAATTATCTTATCCCTCTCTGGTATTACATACTCAAATTTGGGCCTAAGATGATCTCTACACTCCACAAAGCAATGTTGTTGTTGTTATGTGCCATCAAGCAGGACCCAACTCATAGTGACCCCTCCTTGGATTTCCAAAGTGGTATCACTACAAAAGTAGATTGCCCACTTCCTTCCAAGGAGTGGCTGGTGGGTTTGAACCTCCAGCCTTCTGGTTAGCCTTAGGCACTTTGCTACCAGAGCTCCCCCACAAAGCAACAGCCTCTTAATTAGGCTTCCAGCTTCCACTTTCACTCCACCACAAATTATTTCACACCCTGTGGTCAGGTGCTTTTCCAAAAACACAAATGTGATCAGGTCTCTCTGCTTAAAACCCTTCAAACTCATGATTCTTAAGATAAAGAACAAATTCATTCCTGTTTTCAGGAGTTAATGAGGTTACATGACTAACTCAGGATCACTGTGCTAGGATGTGGTAGTTGGGGCTGGAACTTGGGAGATCCCAAGTTCTCATCCACCATACTACCGCCTCAACAAGGCTTACAAACACTTTCATGATCTAGACCCAACTTACTTCTGCAATCGCATCTTTCGCTTCCATTCTCACTCTATTTTTATGTTCCAGCTCTATAAAAAGGATTTCAGTTCCTCCAAGGAACCAGGTTCTCTCTTTTGACTGAAGGTTTTTGAAAAAGAATCCTGACTAAAGCACTCTTCTCCCTTCTCTTAACTGGCTAGCTCCTACTTTTCAAAGGATGCTACTGGAAGCCTCCTCTGACTCCTCAGGTCTCGCTTAACTGTCCCTCCTATGTCCTTTTATAGCACTCTGTTTTCTTACTATCATGATGAATATGATGTATTGCAATTGTCTGCTAATTTATCTTTGTCGAGGAACATTCAAGGTGGAAGCACATCTATCTTATTCACTACTGTACCTCTAGCACCTAGCATAGTGTTAAGCATATAAACAGTTGTTGAATTAATCGCCTTTAGCAAGAAAGGTGGGTGCCTTAACCCCAGTGTCAAGATTCAACCTGGAAAGAAAGTAGCCAATTGATTCAAAGGTTATGAAATGAGAACTGAGCACTGAAAAAAGAATTGGAGTCCATAGAACTGAACAGATGAGAAAGATGAGATTCAGCAGGGGAAGTGACTTGCCCAAACCCACAGAACAGGCAGTACCAGCAATACATTAACTCAAATTCAGGTCTTAACGACTTTCAGCATGGTTTTCTTAGCCAGGCAGTCTGTATATTCAGGCACAGCGCCCATCTCCAAGGCCGCCCCCTCCCTTCTGGGGGCAGAATTAGGACAGAATTTATAACAGGACTAAGGTAAGAGATCTGAGAATGCAGCTGATGAATGAAAGGGTTTGGGTCCCAGGTTCGGTTGGGAGTTCTAGTCCCCTCCCCCTCCTCCCGTTCCTCCCCCTTCGGCGCACTCACATGCCACCCTGTGAATGACCCAGAAGGTGATGCCCACCTCCGCTAGGCAGAGGCAGGCGGCCACCAGCAGCGTATAACGTGGCTCCACCAGCAGCAGGCGCCGCTCTTGCCAGGCGCGCTGCAGCCATTGCTCGCAGCGACTCGCCGCCCGAGCCGCGGCACCCGCCCGGCCGCGTTTCCGCAGCCCAGCCGCCATCTTGACGGTACGCAGTTTGTACGGGCCCGCCACGTAGAAAACTCGATCTCTCAGCACTTAGGTTCCGCTCCCCGACCGGCATCCAGCTAGACTAAACTCTCAGCCGAGTTGTCGTTATTTACCCTATTAAAATTTATTTCTTCCACGTCTCCCCTGGTGAACTGCACGCTCTGTGTGAGCAGGAACCAAGTCTTACTCTTCAGTATATACCCACTACTGGGCATACGGCTAATGTTGTGAAATGAACGTTTACCAAATAAGTACCATTCCTGTTCCCCCAGTCGAGCCCAGCATAAAACTTCGCCTTTCTTGGGAATATGTGTTCACGCGAGTCTTTCCTGGAGAGCAAGGCCCGTGTTTGCACCTCTCTTGCCGTCCCTCAGAGCCTTCCAGGTGCTCAAAACGGTTTGGGAAGAAATTAACCTTCCACTAGTTTTCAGACTTCCAACACAAGGAGCCAAATTACAAATATGAGAGAGGTCAATAATGAGGCCGCAAAGTCTGACATTATGACTAACGCCTGCAGAAGTGAGTGGGTAGTGGAGTCTGGACCACCTCTTTTTCCAAGCCGGAGGATTCTTTTCAGAGCACTCAGCAGCGGACGGAAGTTCCACGTGTTTATGTTGAGCAACTGCAGGTGGTTTGCGGGGGGGGGGGGGGGTGTCACTGAGGCCCCGCCTTCACAGTCTACCATCCCGATTGGTTACATAGGGGCGCCAAGCCCCGCCCAAGGGAGCAGGCTAGGTGCCTGGGTTCGCGGCCTTGCTACTGGGAGCATGGCCTCTCCAGTAGCTCGGCATCCCCTGCCGGAATTACCGGAGCGGAACTGCGAGTACTGCGAAGTCCAATACTGGGACCAGCGCTACCAGGACGCTGCCGACTCTGACCCCTACGAGTGGTTCGGAGACTTCTCCTCCTTCCGTGCTCTTCTGGAGCCCGAGCTGCGGCCGGAGGACCGGATCCTCGTGCTAGGTGGGTAGTCCTGGTGCTGCCCTGCCCGGGTGGAGCCCGCCCCGACCTGCTCCGGCCCGCCTTCTGCTTCCCCACTCCGAAGCCAAGCTCCGGCACTTTCAGAATCTTGGTCGGATTTAGTCAGGGCAAACAGGAACCAAGATATTCTGTCTGGGCGCGCCCTGGAGACTCTGGGTCTGAGTAGGATGTCACCCAGGACTCCGTTTCGGACCCTCGGTAGGCAGTCTCGGGCACTGGAGAGCTCCGGGGACCTGGCTCAAGTCCCAACGCACGTTGGCTGTGTGACTTAGGACAAGTCGTGAACCTTTTCCCAGCTTCATATTCTTCATCTATAGAAATGAGACTGCGAGTTCAAGATGGATAAGGCACATGCAGACACCTCGAGCACAAAGCCTAGCGTTTTTCCTTTTGTGCTTATGGGAACTAGCAGTCATTGTCACACAGAGAAGGTTACCCTCTCTGCACTCTCCGAACCTTGGGTCTATGCTGGGTTTGAGGGGGGAGAACAGCGCCTCCTGTGGCCAGAGGGGAGATTGCAGTCGAGATTGGCGCGGTTCCCTAAAGGGAAGAAATGCTGGGATGCTGAGTGCGTGCTTTGAGATCAAGTCGCTCTCTCGGGGTTCTTTCCCACTGTCAGCCTTGGAGGCTCTAGTGATGTTTGATTGAGCAATGGGTTTTCTTCCAGTTATAGTTTTTATTTTTTCCTCTGTAAAAACCATTATAGATATATAATTATTTCATAAATATAAAAGAAGCATCTGTGATACAGTATATATGTAAGATACAACTAATAAATCTGTGTTTATATCCTACTCAATTGGAGAACTAGAACATTCTAGTACTAGAGAGGAAGTTAACCTAGTGGTTGAGAACTTGAACTCTGGAGGCAGCTAATTATGTTGGAATCTTGGCTCTGCAGACACTAGCTGTGTAATCCTGAACAAGATACTTAAATTTCTGTGCCTGTTTTCTCAGCCTTAAAGAAGTGAGTATTTATCTAAGAGATTGTTAAAATGATTATATGAAAACTAGAGATACCTTGAACAATGCCTGACAAATAAAAAAGTTAGTTTCATCCTTTAGAGTCACAAATGTAGACTGTTAGAAGAAAATACACCTCAAAACCTAGGGATCAAAGCACATGGTAAAAGGGATCCAAGGGGATCTGGCAGAGCACTGACTGTCCACTATACTCATGCAGGGAATAAGTGGTCTAGTGACTCCTGAACTCTTGCTTCTCCTGTTAAACCGTGAAGATGGCTGTAGTCAACACAAAGAGGTGTCTAAAACTCTGTTGAAATTGGCAAAATGATCACATTGTGAATTACAGCCTGTCATATTGACATAACTTAAGATTGGGCCTTTTGAAAACTGGCAGCAGTTTAACATAGTTATTTAAGAGCTCTGGTTCTAGAGTTAAGACAGATCTGGTCTAGGTCCAAATTCTGTCTCTGTCTGTGTGACCTGGGGAAAGTTTTTTTTTTCCACTTTGGGAAGCCTCAGTTTCCCTACATAGAAAATGGTAATTGTGATCATAATATACATGGAGCCAGGGTCAGTGAAAAAGAGAAAGACCCTCAACAAGATGGATTGACACAGTGGCTTCATCAGTGGAATGATTGTGAGCATGGTGCAGGACTGGGCAGCATCTCATTCTATTGTATTGTATTGTATTGTATTGTATTGTCACTGTGAGTTGGAACCAACTTGACAGCACCTAACAACAATAACAACTCTGAAAATAAACTGAGATGATTCTTATAAAAGCTTAGCATGGGATCTGGTGTTCAATGACTTATACTGAAAGTGAGAGTCAGAGAGGCAGTTTATCCAGGATTGTTCAAAGGAACAGTCTGCTCCCTATGACTAGAATATCCTCATGGCAGGTGAATGCATTTGTCTGTCACAGCTTTACTGTCATTATACTTATCTGATTCTCCCTCCTTGCTTAGTTCCATGCTCCATAAGAATCTTCTGATCATAATTTGACTTCTCATTTAGATTTCCTATAGGGAAAGAAAGGAGCTCTGGTGGTATAGAGCCTAAGGCATTTGACTGCTAACCAGAAGGCTGGCGGTTCAAACCCACCAGCCACTCCTCGTAAGAAAGGTTGGGCAATCTACTTCCGTAGTGATACTGCCCCGGAAACTCAAGGAGGGGTCGCTGTGAGTCGGATCCGACTCCACGACAGTGGTGTTTTTACGTTGTTATAGGGAGACAAAAGACTGACTGGAAGATTCAATTGTCCATTCCCCATAATGGCTATTTCACTGTTACAAATTAGTGAATTGGCATTCTGGCTTATCCTCAGTCTCTTTGTACTAGGTTAGCATCCATATATCTTTGGGCCCCCATGTGATAAGTTCTTGGATCTGGACCAATTCTTTAGGGCTCTGCTGCCCTGAGGCCCCATCTAGGAAAGCAAGCCCCATCTTAGTTACTGTTCCTAAATCACTGAGGCAACAGAAACAGAAATATTTGATTTGTGAGCATGACTGGCCCTGTGGTCTGGTTTTGTTCTCCTTTCATCTTTGGTAAAGTCCTCTTGAAAGAAGCCATCCTGTACCAAGGGGAACAAGGAAAGGAGATTTATCTACAATTGGGCAGAGCACTGCAGGCATATAAGGTCAGGTATAGGAGTGGTAAATGGATTGCCGGTCAGAGAATTCTGGGATTTCAGCCTAGAACTGAGTTAGAGTCTTCTGGGCAGCTTGTCCCCACCCTAGCTCCATGTGGTGTATCTGCCAGAGTTGCTTGTGGCTCCAACTTGGAAAAGCACATGTTGATTTTTCCCAGGTGAGATGGTACTCTCCTAACCCCCAGGGCCTGAAGTGAAACACAAGAAGGGGCAGCTGAAGACTGGCCAGCTGCATGAGTGCTTTGTATGGGTGCCAAGCCCTGCTAGATTAGGGCTATCCCAGCAACTGATCCTGTGATCCTCTTAGAGAGGCAAATGGGGATTAAAGGCAACCTAATCCCAAGAGCTGGGAATCCCCACATGGAGCCACCAGGAGCTGTCATCTATCTAGTCCCATTCTCAGGCTGAGATTGGCCACAGGAGGGCCTGGAAGAATCCAAAAGATCTTCTTCTAAAGAGGTCATGCCCATTGGGCTATGGAGCCACATCCACTCCTCTAACCTCTATGTCTTCTCTAATCTGAATCCTCCCCTTTGGGACTACTTTCCAGGCATTTTCTGCCAGAGTATGTGATTCCTCAAGATTGCTTAGCTGTCAGCTTCCCTGAAGCCCTTGGCCGACTTACCTTAGGTAGGGCCAGGACCTTGGGAGGCCTGCCACTATTGAAAGTACTCATCAGATTATGTTATAGGTCTGCCCCTCCCACCAAAGCAAAACTCTTTGAGAACAAGGACTCTTATTCATCATCAAAGCCTCTCGGGGTGTACAGTTAACTTTACCCAAATAAGTTTGTCTTTGTCCTTGGTTCCTGGGGGATAACCACTAAACTCTTGAAATTTCCCCAGTGATTGGGTTTATGTTAATGAATTGACTCTTGGGTTGGGGTAGGCTGTGCCAGAAAGGCTGACCAGGTAATAATCAGTAATAATCATAGGGGAGGGGGGGTAGAGGTTGAGCTCAGCCACAAATGCAGTGATTCAATCAATCGTGCCTATGTAATGAACCCCAATAAAAACTCTGGACACTGAAGCTTGTGGAGCTTCCTGGTTGGTGAAAGACATCGATGCTCAGGAAAGTGACATAGCTCTCGGTTCACAGAAGCTCCACACTGGGAACTCTCCCAGACCTTACCTTATGTATCTCTTTATTTGTATTCCTTTTGCTGTACTAAAAGTGTAATCATAAGTATAGCACGAGGTGATAGTGGGAAACCTGAATTGTAACCAGTAGGTCATAAAAGAAGAAGGCCTGGGACCCCCAAGCTTACAATTGGTATCCTGAGGGGATAGTGGGAACCTTGGAATTTGCAGCCAGCAGGTAATAAGTGAAGGTATCATGGGAACCCCCAAGCTTGAGCCTGGCATCTGAAGTCCTAGGCAGACTTGATAGTCTGGATTGCTGTCCCTTTTAACTTGTGAGATCTGAACTAGCTCCATGGGTTAGAGTCAGAAGAAGAACTGCATTTGCAGTTGGTGTCAGAGGGGACATTTAAAATGTGTGTCAGAAGACACAGTCATACACACTTTCTTGGAACCCAGTATGTAGTATTCAACAAACACATTAAGGAATTATAAGGAGTCGGTTCGACTGTGTGTCCTTAACTAGTTTCTCCTTCACTTCTTAATTCCACCTTGGAAATTAAGGTAGGTAATAACACCTAATACCAAGGCTTCCCAAGGATTATATCTTCAGAGATTCCTTGAGAGGTTAACCATGAGGGTATTATTGATATTATCCCAATATAGTATCAGTAATATTATATTGTATATATAATACAAGGATCTCTGGTAGCATAGTGCCAAAGGCACTTGACTGCTAACCAGAAGGCTGCTGGTTCAAACTCACCAGCCACTCTTCAGAAGGAAGGTTGGGCAATCTGCTTCCATAGTGATACTGCCTCGGAAACCCAAGGAGGGGTTGCTATGAGTCGGGGCCGACTCAATGGCACATAACAACAATAACATATATAATGC